TATGTAACCTTGTTCTATCAGTTACCTTTATTCTACCTCACTAACCCCCATATACCCTAATTTACCCATGCTCTACTACGTCTACCACCATATACCCTTGATTAACCATGTTCTACCGCATTAACCCTCATCTACCCTAGTTAACCCATCTTCTACCAGGTTCACGCTCATCTACCCTAGGTAACCCATCTTCTACCACGTTTACCCCCATCTACCCTAGTTAACCCAAGTTCTAACACGCTTACCCTCATCTACGCCAGGTAACCTATGTTCTACCCCGTTTACCACCATCTACCCTTGGTTAGATATGTTCTACCATGTTAACCCTCATCTACCCTAGGTAACCCATGTTCTACCACGTTTACCCCCATCTACCCTTGGTTAGCCATGTTCTAGAACGTTCACCCTCATCTACCCTAGCTAACCCATGTTCTACCCCGTTTACCACCATCTACCCTTGGTTAGCCATGTTGTACCACGTTAACCCTCATCTACCCTAGATAACCCATGTTCTACCACGTTTACCACGTTTACTTTGTTAGCCATGTTCTATCACGTACACCCTCATCTACCCTAAGTAACCCATGTTCTACCACGTTTACCCTCTTCTATCCTAGGTTTTGTTGTGCCACGTTTACTCCCATCAACCCTTGATTGACCATGTTCTACCAAGTTAACCCTCATCTACCCTAGGTAACCCATATTCTACCACGTTTACCCCCATCTGCCCTTGGTTAGCCATGTTGTACCACGTTCACCCTCATTTACCCTAGGTAACTCATGTTCTACCACGTTTACCCTTATCTATCCTTGGTTGGCCATCTTCTACCACGTTCACCCTCATCTACCCTAATCTTCGTTGCAGCCGTTTTTAGGATCGTCACTCGACGCTCCTTCCCACCAACGGCTGCTCACGAGAGAGACACACATTCCTTTTCCTAATTAACCCTTGTTTAACCAGGATCTATCCCCCCTTTACACATGTTCACTACAAGGCGGAAGGGAGTGAAGACCTCTTTAAGATAATTCTCAATCATGCTTGTCCATACGTTAATATATCTAGTTACAAACACTGCTCACAACAAAGTTTAAACATGTTGAAATGCGTTTTTAATAAAATCATTACTGTAGATAGGGGGGTTGCTCATTGCTTTCATCATGAGAAGGAAAATAAAGGAAACTTAACTACCTTAATCTGTAAACAAAAGCATTGAGGTTTAATTTTTCTAACGAGAACTAGTTACTCTTGCAACATCAATAAAAACGGTAAATTCGAGTAGTGCACTAATCATGTTGCTCTGCATTGAGACGAGCGCACACTACATCTCTTTTTTTTTTTTTTGCATGTGCGCCAACTTGGCGGTTATCTGCGCAGCTGTTTTTGATAACAGATGAACGGGCTTTTGCCCTGATGATTTTGACCTAATTACAAAATTGGATAGTGACGGAATGTTTTCCGGAGATAGTTCAACATCTATTACATTTATAACTTTTATTACACTTGCGAATAAAACTGACTCATAATTTGTCCATGGTCCGTGTGTTTGCGGAGTTCCTGCCGACGACAGGAACTCTGATCCTTTCAGCCTTTTATGGATTCCGGGTGACCTTTTTCTCTTCGCCCCAGAGGGCTTTGAGGTAGGGCGAGAACTGGCATCGTACACATTTTTGCAACCGACACAGGAGTCCAAAGAGGAGCATCCCTGTCCATGTCTCAGGCAAGGGCACTTGGACTTGATTTCTCCATCCCTGCAGGCTGCGAATGTTTTGGCATCTTCCCTCTTCTTTGCCATACTTTCTCCACATCTACAGCTCAGGTGTCTATATGGCATTGTACCAGCTGAATCTTCCCCTTCGTTTCTTACATCCTGGTTCAAATTGCCACAGTTTTTCCACCTGCACCTTCTGGTACACGATATCCCTTTCCGTGTGGCAGAAAGGCACGATGATTTGCTTCCTCTTGCCATATTTTTACTACAAGAACAGACTTTAGAATTATCTTTTACTGATATTTCAGAATCTGCAAGATACAGAAATGAAATTTTGTCATAAATGAGTGTTAAAGCTGTTGGATCTGCTTCCATTCTTAATATAGTTTGGTTACTTACAGGGTAGAAAGTGTTGTGTACCTGGGTGCTCATGTCAGCAACTCTGGCGGCACAGATGACATCAAAGCAAGGTTAGGTAAAGCAAGGGCCGCGTACAACAAACTGGGAAAGATTTGGAAGAATAATCAGTTTACCAGCAAGAACAAGATCAAAATCTTTAAGTCTAACGTCATCTCGGTACTGTTGTATGGCTGCGAAACCTGGAGAATGACTCAAACGGACGAGAAAAAGTTGGATACGTTCACAAGAGCCTTCGCCGGATTCTAAAGATCTACTGGCCAATGCGTATAACCAACGAGGAGATAAGGAGAAGAACGGGGATGGAAACGATCAGCAGACAAGTGGCAAGGAGGAGATGGGCGTGGTTAGTGGTTGGAAGGGCTGCTCATGGCTTTTATCTTCTCTTCCATTCAGAGGAAAATAAAGGAAAATGTAAAGTGATTTTCCATCTGCTTTGGAAGCGCTACTTAACGCTTCTTTTCCCAATTTTCAAAAGTTAAACAAGTTTAAGTGGTGCAAGGGGGTCAATGTTAAGATTGTAACTGAGCCGAACGCAGACGATATAGCCATCGTAGCGGAAAAAGAATCGAGCAGTGCACTTATTATGTAAGTCCGAATTGAGACGAGCGTACACTGAATTTTTTTCTTTGTGCGCCAACTTGGCAGCTATCTGTGCAGCTTATCTAGATGAAAGATTAAAGGTCTTTTTTCATGATGATTTTCACCTAATTACAAAAGTGTATAATAAGGAAATGTTTTCCGCAGATAGCTCAACATCAGTTAGATTTATAACTTTTATTACACTTGTAAACAAAAACGACTAAAAATTTATCCATGTTCCACGTATTTGCAGAGTTCCTGTCGACGATAGGAATTCTGATCCCATCAGCCTTTTTTAATTCTAGATTCCAAGTGACCTTTATAGGCCGTCAACTTGTTCTTCAATACACCTCTTAATCCATGTTTTTCTTTTTTTGCTCCGATAAGTAATAAGCCATCATTCCTACGAGGTGTAACACGGGTTGAAACTAAGGAAAACGGGGTGAACGTGCAAAAACATGGGTTACCTAGGATATATGAGGGTTAACGTAGTAGAACATCGCCAATCTAGGGTAAATGGGGGTAAACGTGGTAGAATTTGGCTCACTAAGGATAAATGAGGACTAACGTGGAAGAAGATAACTAAACTAGGGTAGATGAGGGTTAACGTGGTAGAATATGGTCAATCAAGGGTTGATGGAAGTAAACGTGGTACAGAATGGGTTACCTAGGGTAGAAGGGGGTAAACGTGGTAGAACATGGCTAGCCAAAGGTAGATGGGGGTAAACGGAGTAGAACATGGGTTACCTAGGGTAGATGGAGGTAAACGAGGTAGTACATGGGTTACCTAGGGTAGATGGGGGTAAACGAGGTAGAACATGGGTTACCTACGGCAGATGAGGGTGAACGTAGTAGAACATGGGTTACCTAGTAGATGGGAGTAAACATGGTAGAACAGGGCTAACCTAGGGTAGACGTGGGTAAACGTGGTAGAACATGGGTTACCTTGGGTAGATGACGGTGAACGTGGTAGAACATAGGTTACCTAGGGTAGATGGGGGTAAACGGGGTAGAACATGGGTTACCTAGGGTAGATGTGGGTAAACGTGGTAGAACATGGGTTACCTAGGGTAGATGAGGGTGAACGTGGAAGAACATGGGTTACCNCCATGTTCTACCACGTTCACCCTCATCTACCCTAGGTAACCCATGTTCTACCACGTTCACCCTCATCTACCCTTGGTTGGATATGTTCTACCACGTTAACCCTCATCTACCCTAGGTAACCCATGTTCTACCACATTCACCCTCATCTACCCTATGTAACCCATGTTCTACCACGTTCACCCTCATCTACCCTAGGTAAACCATATTCTACCACGTTCACCCTCATCTACCCTAGGTAACCCATGTTCTACCACGTTCACCCTCATCTACCCCAGTTAACCCATGTTTTACCACGTTTACCCCCATCTACACTAGCTAACCCATGTTCTACCACGTTCACTCCTATCTACCCTTGGTTAACCATGTTCTAACACGTTCGCCCTCATCTACTCTAGGTAACCCATGTTCTACCACGTTTACCCCCATCTACCCTTCACTTAGCCATGTTTTACCATGTTGACCCTCATCTACCCTAAGTAACACATGTTCTTCCACGTTTACTTCCATCTACCCTAGGTAACCCATGTTCTACCCCGTTTACCCCTATCTACCCTTGGTTAGCCATGTTGTTCCACGTTAACCCTCATCTACCCTAGATAACCCATGTTCTACCACGTTTACTTTCTTAGCCATGTTCTACCACGTACACCCTCATCTACCCTAGGTAACCCATGTTCTACCACGTTTACCCTCTTCTACCCTAGGTAACCCTTGTTGTGCCACGTTTTCTCCCATCAACCCTTGAATGATCATGTTCTACCACGTTAACCCTCATCTACCCTAGGTAACCCATATTCTACCACGTTTACCTTCATCTACCCTTGTTTAGCCATGTTGTACCACGTTCACCCTCATTTACCCTAGGTAACTCGTGTTCTACCACGTTTACCCTTATCTATCCTTGGTTAGCCATTTTCTACCACGTTCACCCTCATCTACCCTAATCTTTGTTGCAGCCGTTTTTAGGATCGTCACTCGACGCTCCTTCCCACCAACGGCTGTTCACGAGAGAGACACATTCCTTTTCCTAATTAACCCTTGTTTTAACCAGGATCTATACCCCCTTTACACATCTTCATTACAAGGCGGAAGGGAGTGAAGACCTTTAAGATAATTCTCAATCATGCTTGTCCATACGTTAGTTAATATATCTAGTTACAAACACTGCTCACAACAAAGTTTAAACATGTTCAAATGCGTTTTTAATAAAATCATTACTATAGATAGGGGGTTGCTCATCGCTTTCATCGTGAGATGGAAAATAAAGGAAACTTAACTACCATAATCTGTAAACAAAAGCATCGAGGTTTAATTTTTCTAACGAGAACTAGTTACTCTTGCAACATTAATAAAAACGGTAAATTCGAGTAGTGCACTAATCATGTTGCTTTGCATTGAGACGAGCGCACACTACATCTCTTTTTTTTTTTACATGTGCGCCAACTTGGCAGTTATCTGCGCAGCTGTTTTTGATAACAGATTAACGGGCTTTTGCCCTGATGATTTTGATCTAATTACAAAATTGTATAGTGACGAAATGTCTTCGGAGATGGTTCAACATCTGTTATATTTATAACTTTTATTACACTTGCTAATAAAACTGACTCATAATTTGTCCATGGTCCGCGTGTTTGCGGAGTCCCTGTCGACGACAGGAACTCTGATCCTTTCAGCCTTTTATGGATTCCGGGTGACCTTTTTCTCTTCACCCCAGACGGCTTTGAGGTAGGGCGAGAACTGGCACCGTACACATTTTTGCGACCGACACAGGAGCCCAAAGAGGAGCATCCCTGTCCATGTCTCAGGCAAGGGCACTTGGACTTGATTTCTCCATCCCTACAGGCTGCGAATGTTTTGGCATCTTCCCTCTTCTTTGCCATATTTTCTCCACGTCTACAGCTCAGGTGTCTATATGGCATTGTACCAGCTGAATCTTCCCCTTCGTTTCTTAGATCCTGGTTCAAATTGCCACAGTTTTTGCACCTGCACCTTCTGGTACACGATATCCCTTTCTGCACACAAGGGCAAACCTTGCGTGTGGCAGAAAGGCACGATGATTTGCTTCCTCTTGCCATATTTTTACCACAAGAACAGCCTTTAGAATTATCTTTTACTGATCTTTCAGAATCTGCAAGATACAGAAATGAAATTTTGTCATAAATGAGTGTTAAAGCTGTTGGATCAGCTTCTATTCTTAATATAGTTTGGTTACTTACGGGGTAGAAAGTTTTGTGTACCTGGGTGCTCATGTCAGCAACTCTGGCGGCACAGAAGATGACATCAAAGCAAGGTTAGGTAAAGCAAGGGCCGCATACAACAAACTGGGAAAGATTTGGAAGAATAATCAGTTTACCAGCAAGAACAAGATCAAAATCTTTAAGTCTAACGTCATCTCGGTACTGTTGTATGGCTGCGAAACCTGGAGAATGACTCAAACGGACGAGAAAAAGTTGGATACGTTCACAAGAGCCTTCGCCGGATTCTAAAGATCTACCGGCCAATGCGTATAACCAACGAGGATATAAGGAGAAGAACGGGGATGGAAACGATCAGCAGACAGGTGGCAAGGAGGAGATGGGCGTGGTTACATGGTTAGAAAGGTTGCTCATGGCTTTTATCTTCTCTTCCATTCAGAGGAAAATAAAGGAAAATGTAAAGTGATTTTCAATCTACTTTGGAAGCGCTACTTAACGCTTCTTTTCCCAATTTTCAAAAGTTAAACAACGTGGTAGAACATGGGTTAACTAGGGTAGATGAGGGTGAACGTGGTAGAACATGGCTAACCAAGCGTAGATGCGGGTAAACATGGTAGAACATGGGTTACCTCGGTTAGATGGGGGTAAACGTGGTAGAACATGGGTTACCTAGGGTAGGTGGGGGTAAACGTGGTAGAACAGGGCTAACCTAGGGTAGATGGGGGTAAACGGGGTAGAACATGGGTTACCTAGGGTAGATGACGGTGAACGTGGTAGAACATAGGTTACCTAGGGTAGATGAGGGTAAACGGGGTAGAACATGGGTTACCTAGGGTAGATGCTGGTGAACGTGGTAGAACATGGGTTACCTAGGGTAGATGAGGGTTAACGAGGTAGAATATGGTTAATCAAGGGTATATGGGGGTAAACGTAGTAGAACATGGGTAAATTAGGGTATATGGGGGTTAATGAGGTACAACAAAGGTAACTGATAGAACAAGGTTACATAGGACATATCGTGCAATATACATGAATGTTATAATACTTAGTATTAATGTGTATTAGTTATTGGGATATGATATGGACCTAACATGAACGCTTTACCGAAATACGGGAAAGACGCCCGAAATCAAGGGAAAATAAATTCTACCGTGCTCCCTTGTCCAACTGAACTTCTAAAAAGCAACGAAAAACACGTTTCAAAAGAGCTCAATTCACCAGTAAGTTCCACCTCAAATGGGCAGATACCTCAAAGAGATCTAGATGATTGCAAAGTGTCTCTGATATTTTAACTCTGAGACCCTTCTAAGAAAGAGGTAACTTAAAAACTTAAGATAAAATGCCATTACCTTGATGATGGCAAACATACGTTGTACAGGAGTGGGAGGAGTACTACCCTTGGGGAAACCTTAAGCTGCATCACTTTGACCTTGCCTTGCATATCCTGATACCTAGGTAGGATTACCCACCCCCCCTCCTTCCACTAAGACTTCCAAAACTGGCTCTGAGTAATAATAGCCTGAAAAAAGGTCACAGATGGAAGAATATGCTACTGTTTTCTTATTTTGTTCCCCTTCTCAGTCTGTTTTTCTATATTTTACACAATTTGATAAGTTCTTTTTTTTCAATAACAGTTTGTACCAAGGTGCTTGTCACTATCTGAGATCAAAATAAGACAAATCATGCATACCTTTCTGAGTTCTCCCTTTTTCTGTTTTTGCACTCATTGAATAAAAGATCTAAAAAATAAAAAAAAGATTTAAGAGTAAACACAATGCATATCAGTTCCCATGATATTTTGTTAAATCATGCATTATTTTGTTAATTTATCTATCTGTTTACCTTTATAGTCTTTGACAAAACACTACCACTTTCTGATTTGTGATTTCTTCCAAATTTGTGCAAAATTGAGACATTCTTCAAGCCACACAAGGAATATCACTTTTAAAAGGTGTTCCAAAACATGTAACAATTTCTACAAAAAAAGATGAAATTAATAGAAATGTAAAAACTTTCCAGTACCGACCAAGAGCTTTCTTCAAATGGATACCACAAAATTTAGAATAAGATTTAGAACCCCTCATCCAAGAAGATCAGAACTTCAAACCATTTGTAGATGTCATTGTAAAGACAGCACATTCTACACAATAATTTTAGCCACCCAAGTGTTTTTGTCTGGTGTGTCAATCCTCCACTCCAACATGGCAGCCCTGTTCTACTAATGCAGGTAACAACTGTTATGACGTAATGCTAAGCACGTGACTCATTGTTCATTTATTTCCTTTTTGGTGATAAATATTAATACTACATCTTTACGTATTCACTGATTAAACATCTTTTTTATGAGTAATTTATAATAAGTAATTTCATAGAACACACGTGTCTTATAAGAAGTTAAATTTTCCTACCAATTGAACTTCAGTAACTGGTTCCAGTAGTTTGTTGTTCAGTGCTATCAACACTTTGTCAAAATTCAAGGAAGAGCAATTTTCCGAAAAAAAAAAAGAAAATTCAAATGATTGCTTTGAATTTTTTATTTCCAAATGAACTTACATTTTATTTTCTTATCGATCTTTGTTGGTCAGATGTGATGTTCCATTCTCATTGAGACATATCGTATTCCACAGAACGGTGCCTCTGTAAGCCAGCGAATCCTTCATAAATCTAGTTTCAAATCTTGGTACTGATAAGCAGTCTCCACCCTGTAGTGAATATCCATTACTCCTTTGTATGTAAATACTATTAGACAGCAATTCAGGCAAGCCACCATTTTGTGCTTTAAAAAAAGTTCTTAAGAATGTCTATTTTATAATATAAATAAATAGTGGGCCACCAATCGTAGGCCAGTACCTCTTTTAAAGGCATGTCTCTTGGTAAGTTAAAAATGATTCGAGATGCTCTACAATGAAGTCTTTCAATTGAATCAAGTAAATTTGAGTTACAACATGCTCCCCACAGTACTCGTCCGTATTTAACATAACAATAATAATAATAATGATATTTATCCAGGGAGCACACTTGCGTTGGTGGTTTTCAGTAGGGCCCTGCAGATAATAAAATAAAATTACCTAGGCAACAAAAATTGATATTACAATATCAAATTAATTTTAAAATAACTCAACAATGAGATAGTGCATTAGTTACAAACTTTTAAGCTTTGCCTTCAAGAGGGACAATGATTTGCTGTTTTTAATGTCAATATCTAAGTTGTTCCAGTCCTTAGAGGCTTGATAAATGAAAGTTTGCATGCCCCAATTGGTACGCATGTGAGGAAGATGTAAATGATTGCTTCTGCGAGTCAGATGAGAATGAAAACTACTATTGCCTCTGATGTCAAATTTAAAATCAATTTCCCCTAATAGATACTTTTGCATCATAACACAGCGATGGAAGTGTTGTCTCTTTGAGAGGGACTTTAGGTCCAAACGATCCAGTGCCTCTGTTGATGAACTTCTTGGTGGCAAATTAAGCAGGACCTTGGCTTCCTTGTTTTGAAAAACTTGCAGCTGACCCATGAGCATGTCGTTATTTTTGTCACTCCACACTGTGTCTCCATAGTCAAACAGTGGGATGATTAAGCAATTATATAGTGTTCGTTTAGCATGTAGAGGCAAAAGACGTCGTATTCTCTATCATTCCAATCCTTTGATTGATCTTTGTACTGATGGTATCAATGTACTCGGACCAAGACAGAGTTTGGTTTATAACAACTCCCAAGTACTTAAGCGAGTCAGACCTACCAATAGCAGTGGAATTTACTTTAAGAGAGATGTCATTGACTAGTTTAAGCTTCCATGGGTTACCAAAAATAACGAAATTGCATTTAGAAATATTTAGTGTCAACAGACTACTCAAAAACCAGTTGGAAACTGTAGTCAAATCTGAATTTAACTTACTTTCAAGGTCAGATAGATCAGTCGAAGAGTAATAAATTAGTGTCATCAGCGTAAAGAATAATTTCACCGGCAAGCTGACACGATGGTAAATCATTAACGTAGATAAGGAAAAGAAGCGATCCTAATATACTTCCTTGTGGCACCCCAACAGTTATTGGTGCAGCAACAGAGTGCGTCTCCGACAGACGTGCTTTGTTTTCTGTTTGTGAGATATGACCGGAACCAATTTAGAGTATCATCTGAGAGTCCAACCAAATTAAGCTTATGAAGTAAAAGCTTGTGGTCAACTGTGTCAAACATTTTTGAGAGATCTAAAAAACAGCTCCTGTAAGACGACCAGAGTCCATGTTCAGAAGTACATTATCTGTAAAGTGTGTCAAAGCTGTATTAGTTGATAGTTTAGGTTGAAAACCAAATTGTTTGGAGGTAATGATCTTGTTTTCCTTGAGAAAATAGTAGAGTTGGTTATGTGCTGCCTTCTCCAGAATCTTACTCAACGTAGGTAGCACAGCTATTGGCCTGTAATTGTTTGGGTCACAGCGATCGCCTTTTTTGAAGAGGGCAGATACCTTTCCAAACTTCCATAAGGAAGGGAAGGTACGAGTGACCAAAGATTGATGGAACAATTTTGTGAGACTTTTACTAATTACATTAGCCAAGTCTTTCAGAAGACAAGCACTAATATTGTCTAGGCCAATTGCTTTGTTAGTTCTAAGTTGTTTAAGTTGATCGCATACGAACTCTTCAGTGATTGGTTTGAAAACAAACTTTGGTAAATCAGTAGACCTTGCAGGAGGAGATGGTAAGGTAGTGAAGGATTTTAGTTTCATTGCGAGCTTTGAACCAATTGTAGAGAAGTGAACATTTAGGATTTTGGCAATAGATGGATTGTCACAATTTGCTACGCCATCAGCTTCGATACAAGAGATTGGAGAGCTCTGTTTACGTAATGTGATTTCATTCAAGGTTTTCCACAATGCACTTGGATTGCTCTGGTTAACAGATATTAGGTTTGAGTAGTACTCTGCTTTGCACTTTTGTATTTCTTTGTTGACATAGTTCTTAAGCTTCTTGTAATGTGACCAGAGGTGAGGTGAGTTTGATTTAATGGCTCTGCTATGGAGATCATCGTGTTGGCTCATAGCTTGTGATGAACGCAAGTTCATCCACAGACAGCGGACTCCACATATCCTTGCTTTCCTTATAGGGGCAGGTCTATCAGCAATATTAGTAAACAGTTTGTTCCATGTGGAGATGGCACAGTTGACATCTTTCTTGTTTGCAACAGATTCCCAGTCAACATCTCTCAAATCAGTTACAAAATCTTCTTTGGAATAATTTTTGAAAGAACGATATTCAATAGTTTTCCTTGGCGCTTTGGTGACACCTGACTTAATGACACAGAAAATCAAGGAATGATCACTTTTTGTTAAATGAATAACTCCTTGATCAGTCACTCGATGCATTGTATTCGAAAACAATACATCAATCAGAGTAGATGATCTTTCTGTAAGCCATGTTGGTTTGTTGATAAGCTGGTCAAGTTCATGAGAATTTGTTACCTGAATCAATTTACGTTTCATGGCTTTCTCATTATTATTCAAGTTTGAGTCTATGAAATTAACGTTAAAGTCACAGAGTAAAATCAACTCAATGTTTTCAGGTAATACGGATAATGAAGTGTCCAGATCTTGAATAAATGACTCCACATTCAGGTCAGGCGCACAATAGATAGTCCAAATCAACAGCTTTTTGCATTAAGGCCGACATATTTCGATAACACATGACTCAGCAAAAGAAGTACTGAGATCAGGCCTTTGGCGATAAGGAATCCCATCCCGAACGTAAGCCATACATCCACCGCCAACTTTTCCCAATCTATCAGATCGTACGCAAGAGTAGCCAGGAAGGTTTATTTCCTTATCCAAGATAGACGGTTTGAGCCAGGTTTCTGATACAGTGAAAACATCGAATGGCTTGCTCTCCAATAGTATCTTTAAAGAATCCAATTTCGGCATCAAACTTCTCATGTTTAAGTGTGGTATCTTGAGACCTCTAGAGTGGGTAAAATTTTCAACACATAGTTTCACTGGTGGGCCAGGGTTTAGTGAGACATCATTGCATTGTAGCAGTAGAGTGACGAGAAGGACATCTCTTGTTGGGTTGACAAGCAGGGCCGAAGCGTTGTGAGAGAGACCAAAATGGCGTTTGTTTCGATGAAACGATTTCTTCAGTGAGAATTTAGGAGGTGAAAAAGCGTTAACTTCCTGCCCAACTGCCAAACCAGTACTTGCGTAATCACTATTCGGTTGTAGACCAAAACATGGATCCTGTAAATCCCTCTGAATCGTGTATACTAGCAAGATGAAATTCTATTTTTCAAAATAGCTCAAATTTCCTGCTACTTATGAAGGCATACATCCTGTCTCCCATTAAATTTTATTTCAAGTGCTTACGATCGATACATGCATAAAACAATGCTATTAAACATGAAAATGATGTTTATTTGCTGATTTTATTTATGGGCTATTCCAAATTAAAACCTTATTGAGTATTTTGCTTTGTCATGGGCAAAACAAGAAAATGTTCTAAGCTAACCTGTTCTTGGGTAAGACTCTCTATTAACTTAGTGCCTCTCTCCTCCCAAGAGCATAAACAGTTAACAGAAACTGTCAGGTAAGCCTGATGAAATTCTAGGGGCAACCTTTGATGGCCTAGCATGTATATCAAAGGGAATTAGCAATACCTGCAGTCATTTCCAAATAAGTCAGTTCAAAGCTCATTCTTTAGACAAAAAGTAGCATTTCTAGTAGCCAATAAAACAACAACAAAAAAACAATTACCTCATCAATTCACCATCATTCTGGGATTTGATGGCAAAGAATGTGCAAATTTTGTACTCTTATCCTTGTTTCTCTCTTCAACTGCTCCCATTTTGGTGCTGCCAAACTTTGTTCAAGTTAAGATTTTGATTCCACATTTTCCTTTTCAGCCTCAGTCTGCAACTTTTTTTCAAACTCAATCATATCCAGCCCTGTCAATCAAAGAGATCTTTTGTGCACATTCCTGAGAAACTGTGCCTGCACTTCAGGTGGTAAATCATGAGCTTTACCACCAGATTCAAATGATCTGAATGATGACAATGATGACTTAAAAGACCAAAGAAAAAAAAAAAGACATTTACTTCAGATTCCTGGGCTTCGAGCAGATGAATGACTTAATCATCATTTGTTCCTGGGGCAGACGTTAAGTCTGTTTTCCAAGTAGTTTTCTTGGACCGTTTTACTGCGGCCTGTCGTTTTTTTTCAGATTCTTCCAATTCTCTCGAGTTTTTCAATTTGGTGGCCGGCTGCACTAAATCAATTGTAGTTTTATTACTGTGGGCAAAGACCGAAAACTAAATCACAAATTCATTTCTCCATCCAGTTTTTATTAAATCAAGTTCACAGCTAAACAACTTGTCTCGCTACGGAAACAGTTCATTATTAATAAAAAATCTCTTAAGATCAATTAAGAAATACATAAGTATCATAAACTCACTATCCATTTTTTAGTCACAAGATGGCATGTATGCAATAAATCAATAATGATTGTTGCAATGTCTCGTTTCCTATGAATATTTTGCTTACATGTGAACTCAAGTTTAGTCAAAAAGCAGAAAAATCTGCCTAAGTTACAATCAAATAAAGTGGTCTAACAAAATTAAACAAACTACTCCTCCTTATTTCTTATGTTAAAAAACTGGATCATTGGATAATGCAGTTAAAGAGTTTTCATTGGCTTACCCATCTGGGTTACGAGTCATTATACCATGCGCGCGCTTGAAGACCAGTTAAGCCAAAATTGTTATTGAACATTGTAACATTCCGTGTCTTTTTAAAAATTAAATTTGGGAAGCTTTATCTATGTTTTCGATCGTTTTGAATAAAACAATTACTCCACTCACGCTGCGTGGATATCAGATGATTATAGCCAACTCGGCCATACGGGCCTCGTTTGCTATCTATCGTTCCAACACGGGCTCATAGAATTATTGTTAACAATTCAACGATACTGAATGAAATAAACTATTGCA